GAACATTGCAGGGCTCTTTCTGAAATCTGCTTTAAAAATATGCATTAGGATCACACAGTTTTATGCCTAGGATTTTCCTATTTAATACAATCTTGCAGTAAAGACAAATTTTCTCTTCCTCTGATGCCGACATAACATTTCATAACTAGATTTATCATACAGTGCATAGAAGAGAGACCTTCCTGCGTATTTTCCAAACAGAGGTCCTGAGCAGAAAATCTTCGTGTTTCTGCTCAAACTTGCTTTTTAATGCACACCTCTGAAATATGGATAAGGAGTAACACCAGGGCTTCCTTTTGAGAGTGTGGCTGCATAAGGAAGGATGTCCTAGCTTGCATGGAACATCCCAATGCAGACCCTTGGGGCACCTTTCCAGGTACCAAGTGGTACCTTCTCTACACTGATGTGCTGTAGGGCTGGAAGCATATTCTAGAGTGATGAATTTTTAGATAACTGAAGGCAGTGATGAAACAGATCCTATCCCTGGCCTTCAAGTTTATCTGACCTAACATCAAAGGATAAGTATGAAAAGTAAAATATGTTTGAGTACCAGGTGCCAGTATCTATGATAATGTATTGTTTCAACTATGACTGGGAAGCAGCATTTCACTGTTGCGTGGTTATAAGGGCTGTTGCATCTCCCACTGACTTGCTGCGAGCATTGTTTACCAGCTTGAACCCACAGCGCTGCCTGGGCAGTCATGCTCCTTTGAGTCTGCTGTTCTGCACACAGGCACCTTACTTGAACTAGTATTGGGCTCCCTGCACCCTAACTGGTGGGGCAGTGAAGAATTTCTTCATGGAGAGGATGGTCCATCCATCCCAAGCACCAGGATGGGTGGAGTTCTCACTCCTGCAGGTGTTTAACAGACATGTAGACATGGCACTGAAAGACACGGTGATATTGGTTCAGTGTCATGTTCTTGAAGGTCTTTTCCAACCTAGATGATTCGATGATTCTATGATAGTGGAACCCTCTGGCTGTGGGCTGGATGGCAAATTATGGTGGTGCATGTTATAGCAAGCAAGAAGAGTGGCATGATGTTGAAAGAAAAGTCATGCTAAAGGAAGTGGGTGTATGGTCCCCAAGAACCATGTCTAAACATAAAAGTGAGAACCAGCACACACCTGAGTGGGACAGGCTGTACATACATAGCCAGCTTACTTCCAGTCCTTGCATATTATGGTACTTAATAGCTAGAGAAAAATAGGTCCAGGTGGCCCCTCAGAGCTGTGTGGACTTGATCATCTTCTAAATTGCTCAGTCACTCACTATGTGAGTAGCAAGATACAATAGCCTTCTATACTACAAGTTCAACTTCATCTGCTGAGGTACAGGCACATACATATCCACTTCTGACAGTTCTGCTGCAAAGGAGATCATTTCTGAGAAGGATGAAGAAAATAGCTTCATCCTGTAACACCATGCAGTCAGAGTTCATTTGTTGTGCTCATTAAGACTTAACTTAGGGGAAAGTTTGCCTGTCAAACATGAAACACTGTCAAAACACAGTGAACAGAATTCAGCACTTTTCAGATCCCCAAGTTCTGTTCCCTTGCCTAGCTGAGACCTGACGTAAGTGAAATTAGTTCTTTTATCTTAGATCTTGTGATTGCTTTCCCCAGGCTGCTGGTTATATATTTACTGAACTTTTTTTTTTTTTTTTTACAAAGCCATTGTATTAGCTCTTACTTCCTAGCTTAAAATCAACTTTTAATTATGACAGTCTTAAACACATCAGTTTATGTTTTTATCAGTAGGAAATGAAGCTTAGAAGAGAGACTGTTCTGTGCCATCCATTCATATTGACTGCATCAGCTGATCACACGGAAAAGTCATGAAAAAAACAACTCAGCAGCACTCCACACATAAACCCACCCCAAATAAAACACTGTATTTTAATATAAATTAATAGTTTCAAATAAGAAACAAACCTCCTGAGCAGGCAGCTCTCCAATGACCGCCTGCAGAAGCACTGGACTCCACTCCTGAGAGCTGAGATTGGATGAGTTTCCCTGTAACCAACTCAGCAACTGCTCCCCAGAGATGATCTTGCTTGCTGATGTCAGCACCTTCTTGGGCACATATTTCTGTTTCTCTAGCACTTCCTCTTCTTTGGAAAATATATTCTCAGCTGTAGCATTAGTATCTTTTTCTTAATAGGTATCTCTGATACTTGATTGATCTGCCTGCTTACTAGCACTACGGCAGAACTCTTAGTTACCATACAGCACCATGAACAATCTTATTTTTAAAAAACCTTACATTTTGGTTCCATATTATTTTACAGAATTGGCAGATTTAATTTTGAACATGGTATTTTTTTTTAAATCAGATTGGGATAAGACAGACACACCTCTATTTTTGTGTTAAAGAAATACTTAAAAAAAATCAAATAGGCTGTATTTATTAAAAAAAGAAAAAAAGGAAAAAAAAAACCACCAAAAAACAACTGCTGTGTTCTTCTAAGGCAAAGATTAATTCTTAGCTGTGTAGTAACCCCACGGTCTTGCTCCAAAGAATGCAAACTGACAGATATTTGAACATCATGTAGCAAGGAAGATATCTGTGTAAAGCTCCCATTCCCAATTTATGAGTGCTATACAGTTGTGAATTCAGCAGAAATCAGAAAACTCTGAAGAGGTTTTTCACTCTTGACTAATTAAATGCATCCTGCAGTCAAGGAGCATTACCTTCTAGTTCTGTCTGTTTCTGTCAATGGGCTTACACCCTAGTTTGTGAAAGGAAAATACAGCCTGGCTTGCCATCACTGCAAAGCTGCTGCACTGTATTTGCTGCTCCAGAGGAATACTGCAGTTTGGAGATGGAAAGATTCTTGATGCTCTCCAATGTGCTTTTTGGTTGTATCTGAAAATGACCCACAATCCTGCCTATTCATCTAGTTCTGCCTCCATTCAGGCTGAGGATGCTGGTCTTATTACAACAAACAAAACAATTAGAACAAACCACCAACCAAAACCAAAACAAAACAAAACAAAAACAATTCACCAACAAAAAATGGGGAAAAATGTTTAATTAAATGATACAACAAGTAACAAACAATATCTGATTGTAGATGAGGATTCACACAAGGAAGTCAGACTACACAAGGTTCAAAATGGATGAGGAGCGTCCATATACGATCAGCAGCCATTTAATTAAATGAGTTCAGAACACCTCTTCAATTAAACAGGTGCAATGAGGCAAAACAGGCCTCACCGCCATAGAAAAATATATCAAGTCAAAAGTAGCCAATGTAGGAACACAGCACGTACAGCCTAATACATTCTCTTTATCAGCTTCAGAGATTATTTTGAAGCATTAAAATGCTAGCACTTACATTAAGAAAGCAAGTCCTTGTAAACAAAACAAGTTTTACTAACAGAATTCATGTCACAATTTATACAACCTGAGATTGCTACTTAGGCAACAAGATTGGTAATCAGGCTAACCAGCCTACAACATGAAAAATTATGTTTTTTTTTCTAATATATTTTCTGGATCTGTTGAAGTTTAGAGGCTTTTTGTTGCCTAAATGCCAACTGATTTGCACATGAACTCCAGTCTTGCAATGGACACAGAAACGCGTCCTCAAGGATGCACAACGAAAGGTTCTTAGCTTACTCGCAAGAAATTCTTGGGTATCCTAAATCTTAAATTATAGATTCACACAATAATTTGAGTTGGAAGAGACCTTTAAAGGCCATCTAGCCCAACTCCCCTGCCTTGAGAGGGATACCTACAGCTTATGACTTCTCTTTGGGAAATGTAACAAAAAATAGCTTTCTGAAAAGACACCATTAAAGTGTAAAGTGAAACGTAATGCAATGCTTATAAATAAATGTCAAAGAGTTGGTAAGACAAAAGAAAAGCTTATTTAACATTGACTTTTAAAGGGACATGACACCTATGCTTGATTCATAGGCAGTGGCATTCAGAAGCTGGTCTCCCAGCTTAGGTAGGAGAGTGCTCTTCCAACTTCAGAAGCTTTTGACAGACACATCACCACAGGTACCAATGTTCCTTTGAAATCCTAGTGTTATGTAACCAACTGAATACTTATTGTTGTGTGGAACTCCCAAATCAAACTTGACTGGTAACAACTGTGTGAAGTTACTGAAAGAAGATGACGATTCCTGGCCAATTTTTTGTTTTCATTTTTCAACTTCATGATTATTTCCTAACAAAACAAAAAAAGAATTAGCATTAATGGACGGAGAAGCCAGTTGACAAATATCATGGGCCACAATCTGTAAACACTTGTATACAGGCTTAGTTTTGGTACTGTTCATTGTCTCATTGACTTCAAAGGGATTATTTGCATTATGAGCGTTTTGTGCATCTGCATTTGCTGTACTGGTCCCACATGTGATATCACCACGTATTTTCACAGTGATAAAAAACTCCAGTTGTATCATCTAGGTAACTCATCCATTTTAATCATAATGCAGGCAGCGAAGCCTGCGTGTCCACCATGACCTCGCCAATACAGGAGACTCAGACTTTCACATAATTTCACTCATCAGGTCGGTGGTTCCGGACCTAGACACCTCTCAGGCCATCCCACATCTCCAGAAGAACCAGGACACGTCCTCTGCACTCGTCACCAGGCCATGCTGCTCCCCCAGGAGTATGTCTGCGTGACCCCCCGGCGCTCCGGCCTGCACAAGGGGCGAAGGCCCCAGGGCAGCGGGGCCGCCTCTGCCCTCACAAAATGGGCGCCGAGAGCGGCAGCGGCGCAGCCCCGCGTTCCCGCCCGCCGCAGGCCCGGCGGAGAGGCGCGGCAGCCCCGCGGCCTACGTGCCCCGCCGGCCCCAGGCGCAGGGCCGCGTCTCCCGCGGGAGGCGGAGGCAGCGCGGCGGAGCGGGCCGCACTTCTCCTTCCCCCTTCTTCTCCTCCTCCCGTCCCCGCAACCCCGCGTCGCTCCGCAGCGCCGGGCGGCGCGCCGCTCTCTCCGCCCCTCAGCGCCGCAACGGGCCGAGCGGCGGCGGCGGCGGGGTCACGGCGGCGGCCGGGTCAGAGGGTAAAGGTTGCTCCCCCAGCATCCTCCGTGCTGGATACTCAGCCATCTTGGATCCGCGGGACAAGAAAATTCATGCGGTGAGTCCGGCCCCGGCCGCCCCCTCTCCGACCCCCACCGCCGCCCCGCTCCCCGCCGCAGCCCTCCCGCGGCCTGATGAGGGGGGGCCCGGCGGCGGCGCGGCCCGCGACGGGTCTCCGCAGGCCCGGGGCCGTCCCGCCGGGTTTCCGTTTGCTTTTGTCTCCGAGGGGAGCGGGGGGGACGCGCGGCGCCCGAGCCCGGAGCGCGGCCGCAGGCCCGGCCCTGTCCGCCGTCCCCCGTCCTCCTCCGCGGCCGGCGGAGGCCGCCGGGAGCCGCTCCGCGCCCGCCTGAAGCTGAGGCCCGGCCACGCTCGGGCCCCGCATCCTCCGCGGCCGTCGCTCCGCCGCCGCGGCCCGCTCGGCCCGTTCGGGACGGCTCCCGCCCGCCGCCTCTCTGCCTCGCCGGGCCCGTTCGAGGGCCGCGCGGCCTCCGTTCCCCCCAGCACTCTCCC